CGCACAGATTTGGCTCCTCTGCCAATGGCATTAGCCTGGAAACATTAAGGGAAAAAAGAAAATGAATGGGAGTTTAGAAAAGATTTCATTTGCAGAGTAAGAAAGAAACACAAAGTTGGACTATTGCATAATCTGTCACACACAAGGACAGTTATCTGGCACAGGTGAGTTAGTTTTGGGTTTTCTTTGAAAGCAGGACAAGACTTCCCAAGGAAAGCTGAACTGCAGATGGCCACTCTCTACATTTGATCATTAAGGACTTTTGCAGCTGTGAGACAGCACCATCTGGCCAGAGAGCTCCTCCACCCCAATCCACTGTAAAGGAGCCATGAACTCACCAATGTTCCATTTCCAGCAGGGACTGCCCCCATCACTCACCTTCCAGGCATGGTAGGTGCCCGAGGGGTCGGTCTGGTACAGCCGGGGGGTCCCATCGAAGTCGAAGCCCACGATGAGGGCGGAGATCCCGAAGGGCCTGCGGCCGTTGCTCTGCGTGTACCTCTGAGCACAAAGGACACACCTCAGGCACTTCTGAACACACTCAGGCTGCAAAGCACACTCTGGAGCAGTTACAGCCACCAGAAATGCTTTTAGCTGGCTCTCTCCATTAGTCAGGACTCTGTATCCCATGGAGCCCCTGAGGCAGGCAGGTGAGAGGTGGTTCTGTCCAAGCCTGTTCCTACACCTGGTTACAGCTTCCAGAAGCACCTCCCCACCTGCTGAGGCAGCCAGAGCCAACTCTGCAAGCCCCAGTGTGCCAAAAAATCCCAGGAGGACACCTGAAGAGTTTTCACCAATGATCTGCACTGATTCCACAGGAAAGAAATCACGGCAGCTCCTGCTGTGAGCAGGTTCCACTGGAGCCGTGTCACAGCCCTCCTGAGACACTGCCAGCAAAGTCACTGCCATGTCACACACCAGGGGCAGGAGGGCTGACACCCACAGCAGGAGCTGGGCCGGGTGTGTTTGCAACAGGGTGAGAGAAATGGTCAGTGTGCCAGAGAGACAGACACAAATGTGAGATGGGATACAGGAACAAAGTGAAACTCTGGCAGTGGTGCCTTGCTCTGACAGACCAGTGATTATTACAACAATCACATTATTACCATCACCACTGCTCCAACACATCTGTGCATAAGTAAATTAAATTTTCTCTAATTCTCACTGGTGGCTGAAAATCAGTATAATACACTGGCAAATGAGTAATTTTCTCACAGAATGCAGCTGGGCATATTTTGATGCTGCAATTCATCCTAAATTCATGACTATCAAACATAAAACATATTTAATACTGCACCACTTTGCTCCCCTCTTACCCATCCCTGCAATGGCTTTGCAGGAGCCATAAGAACAGACAGTGAGCCAGGCCCAGTGTTGTGGGAGTGAGATGAGCAGGGTGCTCCTGATGACATGGCACATGGAACTGTGCAGGCCTTGCAAGCACTAACTGCTTTATCTTGGGGGGGGAAAAAACTCAAACAGCACTCAGCTGTTCTTTTCCATTCCCAATAAAAACCTACAGTGTGTTTTTTACCAGGTAAGTGGAGTGAGGCCAGAGCACAGGCATTTGCACAGCTTGAAGAAGTGTCAGATATTCCAGGTGGTTCATGTTACACGTGTGACACTCTAGTCCCACCTGTCACACACCTAATGTGCACAATGTTAACAGGCTAACACAGGAGCACATAAAACACCTCTGCCAGGTGAGGACACATCCCCAGCAGCTGTGGGCACCCCAGGTACCTGTTTGAGGCTGGCAATGTAGCGTGTGATGTACTCCACGGTGACAGGGTCCTCCACAGTGAGCCTGTGGCTCTGGCACTCCACCCGAGCTCTGTTTATGACTATCCTGGCATCAGCTGTCAGCCCTGAAACGACACAGTGGCCTCAGAGTCATGAAAACACCTCAGACCACCAATCTGGCCCTAAAAGGCACAGGGTCAGTGTCAACAGCAAGGGAAAATCAAAGCAGAGCTCAAACTCTGAGGTTTGCTAGGCAAGAGTGTTTGTAAGGCAGCAGAAGGTGGTCAATGCACAAAAATAACTAAAGGATTCAGTTTACAGCTGCCATGTTTCTGAACCAGGTAGTGGGACTATTACTGACAGCATCCCATATCCCAGCAAATTTGCAGTGCTTATTCTCACACACATTATTCCTCATGCAGTCCAGTTTCATCTGCCCAGCAAACCTCATCTAGTTAATGAGGCTACTGCAGCATGATGCTAGCTGATAAGTGTGACCCTTTAAAAAAAAGACCTTAAAGAAATTTATTTCTTATTTAATTCTTATTATTATTTAGTTTTCAGCTAATGCTGCCATTTTTCACTTACAGCCTTGGTTTTTTTATTAGAGAAATTTCCTCAAGTTTGGGAGCATCCCTGCACATATCCCAGACCCTGGCTAAGGGAGCAAGGCAGGAGAAAGAACTGAGCCTCTCATTCCTGCACACTCAACCTAAACCCTGTTGTTTTAGTCAGTTAAATCAGATCTCCCCTTAAAAATATTATTGTCACTGACATTCTACTTCTCCATCTTAAAAAAAAAAAAAAAATAAGCTACTGTGGAAATACTGTGCCTCCCTGTGCCTCCCACAGTTCTCAGACAGTCACACCCCATATTTTGTGTTCCCAGATTCCACAAACACACCCAAAGGTGCCCCAAAAGCTGCCAAAACCCCTGAAGGCACCATGTACCTGCAAAAGCCATGCAGACATTGTCATCCAGGGCACAGATCTTCCTGACAGTTCTCTCATCCTGCAGCTTGGCCACTGACTTCTTCTCCACACCAAGGACAACAATATCCTTCCCTCTTACTCCAACCTTCCAGGCATGAAAAGAAGAAGTAAAAAAGTTAACCCAGGTCCAATGATCCTGACAGCTGCAGACTCTGCTCAAGTGAGCAGTAACCAAGCACAAAGCCCCTCTCTGTAACCATTACCTCAGCTTGAAGTCAGGATTTATTTCCCACTCAACCCGGAGGCAGGACTGATGTAACAAAAATTGCAATGCATTTCAGGGTGCAGTTTCATCATCAGTTTACAACAACCTAAATCCCTGTGGCTCCCAAGAAACAGACTCAGCTCCTCTTACAGCTGTCCTTACTCCAACAGCACCATCAGTGTTTCCACAGCCACAAACACCCCACTAGTCCAGTGGCACTGCTCAACCCAGAGCCCAAGGCACTGAAGATCAGGCCAAGTAACACCTACAGCTGCCAAAATGTTCTGTCTGCAACTGCTTTAATTCCTAATTCATACCTTGAATACACCTTTTCCAACATCAGGGAGGAAAAAAAAATCCTGACCCTTCCCTTTCATCCCCACCATTTCTTACAGGGGCACGGGAATCAGCATGTTCCAAATGTTTCCAAAAACATTAAACTCAACAAGAGACAAGATAGGTGCTTATATTGCATGCCGTCTCCACTTTCACAGTATTTTTAATTTCTGAAAAAAACGAGGAATCTATTTGGCACTCAATCTTGTTACATTCATTCCCATCCCAAAGATGGTCAATTCTCTTTTTGGTAATGCCAATTAAAACATACTACAACTATTAATACAGTTATGACTTTTTCAAATTAAAACTTACTATTGCTAGAACTTATTACAATCACTAATACAAGGGTATTTGCAATTTAACACTTTTCTTCTCCTCCCCTAAATGAAACAAAACTTTCATTGAGCAAAAGCTTGGGACAGCTGGAAGCCGGGAGAAGCAATGCACTCCTAAGGGCTTTTACCGACGCGTTCCCAATGCGCTGGGCTCTGCCTCGTGCCCAAACACAGAATACCACAATCTGTGTTTGAGAGAGGATCCCTCCGGGCCTGCCCCACCGCCGGAGCCCCGCGGGCAGCTCGGGGCTCTGGGCAGCCCCACGGACCCTGGATCCCCCCGGGAACGTCCCCGCAGCGGCTCCCGCGGCCTCCGGGCCCGCCAGGCCGGGCGCGCAGCGCGGCCCAGCCCCGCCACGGGTCCAGCCCCGCCGCCACAGCCCCGCCGCCCCGCGGCCGCCGACTCACCGCGGTGGAGCCCTTCTTGACCGCCTCCTGCGCGTACTCCACCTGGAAGAGGTGCCCGTCCGGGGAGAAGACGGTGATGGCGCGGTCGTAGCTCATGGCTCCGGCAGAACCCGCACCGTCATCCGGGCGGGCCGGGGGCGGGGCCGCTGCGCTCTGCGCCGCGCACTTGGCGTACGCACTCTGCGCTGCGCACTTGGCGTACGCACTCTGCGCACGCTGCGCAGCGCCCGGCACGCCCCGCAACTGGCGCACGCACCGCGCAGGGAATCCAGGGGGTTTGGGTGGAAGTGACCGCAAAAATCACCCCGTGCCATGGGCAGGGACATCTTCCATTATCCCGGGTTGCTCCCAGCCCCGTCCATTGGACATTTCTAGGCATAAGGCAAACGCTGCTTCTCTGGGCGCTCAGTGCCAGGGCCTCGCCGCCCTCGCAGGGAAGATTCTCCTAATATCTAACCTAAACCGTCGCTTTTTCAATGTGAACCCATTCCCCTTGTTCCGTCACTCCACTCAGCCTTGCCCCATCCTTGCTGTGAGTCCCCTAGAGGTACTGGAGAGCCCCCATGGGGTCACCCCGAGGCCAGGCGGAACAGCCGCGATTCCCCAGCCTTCCCTCGCAGCAGAGTTGCTCCATCCCTGTCCCCGCGTCGCCGCTCCCCGTCCCCCGCTGTCCGCCCGCAGCGCACTTGGCGTAGCGGCCCCGCGCCGCTCCCCGCGCTGGCGCACTTGGCGTACGCAGTTGGCGTACGCAGTTGGCGCAGCGGGCGGCGCGGCCGAGGCGGCGGGAGCCGGGCGGCCGGGACCGCACCATGTGCGGGCGGCGGGGAGGCGGCGGCGCCTCTGATCCCGTTCCCTCCCCGAACCGGCGCCGCCGCTCCCGTCCCGCCGCCGCGGGGGCTCGGGGGGGCGCGGCGGGGGCGGTGCCCGGCGGCGCGGGGCGCGGCGCCCGCGGGTGTTCGCGGGGCGCAGATCGTACCATCTGCGGGCGCCCCCCTGGCCGTGCACTGCGGAGAATCCTCGCACGGCAATAGCAGCCAGATAATAACAATATTATTAGAGCCTGGAACCGATATATTATAGACACATAAAAATCCCCCACCATGTCGGTTGCCTTTGCTTCTGCTCGCCCAAGAGGCAAAGGGGAGGTCACCCAGCAAACTATCCAGAAGGTAAAAGAGCATGCTTTTATACAGACAATTTTAGACATTTATTCTGCCCATGCTCCTGCAGCTGGAGGCTGATTTCTAGGGCGATCAGGAAAACTCGTGAATTTGCGAGGGCTGCAGAGATGGACAGCTGGAGAGAGAGAGGTGGGGGAAGGAGGAGGAGGAGGAGGAGGTGGAACAAAGCAAAGGTGTTCAGATCGCTGCAAAGAGAGCGAGAGAAGGACGTAGGGAATAAAATCGGGATGGCACGTTATCCCTGCTGCTCGCCAAGGGGAAACGCTGCCAAGCATACATTGGGAAACGGCAATAAAATTTGCAAATATGCGATTAATTTATGATGTATGTCAACTTTTGGCTCCCAAAGAATCCAACCTAAAAAAATGAATTGAAATAAAATACTGAATTTGCAAGGGTTTTCTTTTGTATCTGGATGCAGAATTTTAATCTCTCAGAAGATAGAGGGAGCACCAGCCACTGGTATTTTTCATAAACTATTATTATTATTATTGTGATGTGTTTGTTGATGTTTAATGACAAACAAAGGTTTTGAAAGATTTCCTCTGGAGAGGAGATGCCCACATGGGTCTCATGTGGAGGCCAGCTCAGAGAAGTTATTGTTTGCTATTTCCCAGGACTGGCAGCACAAGCAGACCCTGGCACCCTTCTCCTGAGGAAGGTGACGGTCAGGAGCAGCGAGGCTGGAAATGTCAATACAGAATGTGATGTTTTGCTGTCACTGCTGTTTGTCAGGTGCATTTTGCTGTCATTTTGGCCGTTCCCCATGGCTCAGGTGTGGTGGCAGCCAGGTGTGAGCTCTGTGAGGTCCCTTCACAGTGACCGGGGCAGGAGTGCCACTGCCAGCGCAGCAATTACCCTGTCACCAGGGCTGGGCAGCCAAGCCGTGCTCTGCTGCCACTTTGGGACTTCCAGGGGACAAAACCCCCCTCGGTGGCAGCAGAGCAGAGCTGAGGGCAGGACAGACTGCGGCCAGAGAGCCCAGAGAGATGACTTGCATCTCAGGGGGCTGTTTGGAAACATCCCATCTTGTGGAGCTCTCGCAGCACGTGGTGTTGTGAACCAGTTGCTGGAAACACTGAAATATTTCGGACTCGGTGAATAAGTTTTCCTCCAAGCTTCAAATCAGTTGGAATGATTTCATAATTGAGTTGTTTGTAATTAAACCCACACCCACAGACAAAGGGCAGATAAAGTGTATTCTGTTTGATTTTCTAGCCCTTTCCTTTTTGCATATTCATAAACTTCATGGAAGCTTCAAAATGTTCTTTCTTTTAAAATAGTGAGTGGAACCATTTCCCATCTCAGGTGCCTTTGCTGGCAGGTTACTGTGGGACTGTCCATCAGTGCTGGACTGTTGGCAGTGATCTTCTCTCTGACAAACAGCAATGCTGAGGAGGAGACTTGCAGGCACAGGAACTGGATGGGATTAATAGTCAAGGATGGAAGTGGAGCAGAGACAGCAGGAGAAAAAATAAACTCCAAAAGTCCTCATTAAAGTGAGCTTTTGAGAACATATCCAAATTTCAATGAAAAATATTTTTCTTATTTGCATTCATATTATATAAGCAGCTTATTTTTATTTACTAACTCAATTTTAATAGCCTTTCAAAGCTGTTCTTATCCCAGTATCAAATATTCCTAAAACAGATTTCACACAGAGGAAGTCTGAGCTTTTGTCAATAAAATAGTGCTGGTGCTCCTCTAAAATAGTTCATCAAAGAGCATTTCCAGGGCAGTGAAATTCAGTTCTGAGCCAGAAATGGTTCTTTCCTCAAGAGCTCTCCTGCCCTGATGACACAGTGGTTCAAAAGCTCAATCTTGCAAGCACTTGATAGCAGTGGTACCTACAAGCTCCGTTATGCCAGAGGCAAATCTAAATTTCTACATGCTGGTATTATTTTTTTTATTCATTCACCTGGAGAAAGTGTGCTGCATTCACATGAAATCTGGGGGAAAGGGACAAACTAATGTATCTGAAATTTCAGAACAAATCAAAGGGTATTTTAAGCTTTTAATCATATTACGAGCTCATTAAATAAAAGTCAGGACACATTGGGATATCATTCTCTTAAACATGGTTTCAGTAGCTGCAGTGATGCAAATTTTGTACTTCATCAGGTTCGGCTGTCAGCATGCTCAAGGAAAAGGAGTAAGTTTAATTGTTTGAAAGTCTGTTTCCTACTTAAAAGTAGGCATGTTAGTGATACCTGATGTTTTGGAAAGGGTTGGGGGATACTTTGGGATGAGGCAGAGATAACTCACAGTGAAAGTGTTTTCCTTCTTCAACATCAGAATTTATCTGCCATTTAAGGAACAAGCCAAGAGCATGAATTCTTCTGTATGGGGATTTCAAGTAACCACTTTAAAGATATCTGTTGATAAGTGAATCAACCTTGTGGCTCAATAAAGTCACATGGAGGTAATTTACAACAGCCAAAGCAACAAAACTGCACAAAACATCCAAGGAGGGTGGAGAATCACAAAAATACAGGACTTTTACACAATTCTCATAGTAACATGTTCTGGTCCTATTTCTTTTATGCAGATGCTAGATGAAAATCACCACCTAATACAATGTATTATGGATTATCAGAGCAAGGGGAAAACTGCAGAATGTACTCAGTGAGTATTACAGAGCGGGGAGTTTGTTAGAAATGTTTCCTGAAGGCTGACTCTTGCCTTTGCTCAGTGGCACAGCTGCTGGTTTGCTCTTGGAAACACTCCTGCTCCTTTCTAGGAGCTTTTCCCGTTCATGGAGAACTGTGAAGAAGCAGAAATGGTTCTGCTGGTGCTTACTTGAGTAAACACTCCAGTTAGAGCACTCTTGAGAAAAATCATGTTCTTCTCAGCTTGCTGGCAGGGAATACAGGTTTTGGGCTTTGGAGTTGTGGGATTTCATTTCTACCAGAGCCCTTGTTAGACAGAGAAGGGAGAAGTGTCTGATTGTTGGAGCAGCTGACTGGGTATCAGTGCTCAAAGATGGAGTCCCAGCTGCACAGTTCAAAGTGCTTTCAAAGAAGTTGCATTTTGTGTCTCTGTTCCCCCAAGTTTATCCTTTTGGAGTTTATCCTTTTATAAAAGAGGTGTTGAGCACAGTGATCGTTGATGGGAAACATGACAGCACAGACACAGGTCATTGCTACTGCTGTTTATTAGGACAGATTAAAAATGGGTTCAGGTAATTTAACCATTTGTAAATAGAGAAAAAAAAGATAAATACCTGGAATTTTGTGTATTGTTAACCCTTTCCAAATGAGCTTTACTCCTTGTTCTGTAGATACCAACAAATCTTGCACAGAAACCTGGTTTATTTGGCAACAATAGCAGACTCTAACCAGAATATGCAGTCCTTGCTTCCTGCTGTAAGTACCAGTACAATTTCTGTAACTAATAATTAGTTATTAGTATAACTAATATCATAGTTATTTCCCTCAGATACATCAGCTATGCCAGAGGGAAATGTTCTTTGATTCTGTCACTGATCACTATAAATGAACCATTTTTTAGTATTTTTCCAGCTGAAAGTTTTGAAGTGGCCAAGTAGACCACCAATCAAAAATTACTTCTACTGCATTTAAATTATGTTTTATGAGACATTTGTGTTAATCTCTGTCCCATAACTCAAGGGTTATGATGCAGTGGTGCAGATCTGAACAGCTCCATTTGTTCCAGATTCAATATTCTTACCTGTTCTTACTCTATTCTTTACTTGGGGGGGAAAAATGCTGCTGATTTGCATCAAGAATCTAATTCAACACTCGGGCATCGGTTTGTCTTTACACATGTTGTTATTCTTGCCCAGTGGATTGGTTTGGGAAGTACCACACACAACACAAGCTGCGGCATAGCTTGGCAAAGGTCAATCTGTCACCACGCTCCTGTGTTGTCTTTGCTAATGCATTCCCCGCAGTGGTTGTGTTTGGAAATCCATGTGAGTGCAGGGGAACGAGCACAGGAGCCACACTCTGTGACAAACACAGTAATTTCAAGCCCTGCACTGTGCTGCTGCCTGTCAGCTGCTCTGTCACGCTCAATGTCATTCACACACAGGAGTCAAACCGAGAAAGATTTACCCAAAAAATCGAAGCAAACACGCATTTAACCCAGGCACTTTTTAGTCATAGCCAGGCTAATTTAGGGGGCTGCTATTTTTTCTAATTCAAAACCTAACCAAAAAAAAAAAAAAACTTGCTTTTTCCTCCCTGTTTGTTTCGCAGCCACCAACGCAGAACATCAACTTGGGCCCGGGAGGGATGAGTCAGAGCGCGTCCAACCAATCCCTCCACTCGCAGAGCAACCTCAGCGACGCCATCGGCAGCGGCCTCCCGCCCTCCTCCCTCATGCAGAGCCAGATCAGCAATGGTGAGCCCCGCTCCCCTTTGTGCTGCTTCGCTGTTGCCTGGCGACAAAATCATTAATGCGGAATATACTGAGGGAGCTGGGAAAGACCTCTCCTAACTCACCTTGCAGGCGTGTGGGGATTTCAGGCTCGTGCTGGAGTCACCACAAAATGGCTACAGGCAGGGGTGAGGTTGGTTTCTGCAGAGTGCTTTGTGTTTCTGCAGAGGAAATTAAAGACTTTTTTTTTTTTTTTTAAAATGCATGGTGAAAATCACCGAGTGAAGATGCATCCAAGTTTTTAGTAAGGAAAAATGATATGTTGCAGTATTTTTGTCGTGGAAGTGGTAAAATGGAATTGCTTGCATGACTAACCACACAACCAAGGCTCCAGACTGCAAAGACCTTCCAGGATGCATTTCTCCTTACAAATCATTTGGTGTTGCACCAGTCTTTGTCCTCTACAAAAGGTTGTACTACACAGCCAAAGAATTTGCACAGACATTTCATGTTAATAAGATAATAAAATCTGTTTGGTTTTGTTCATGCGACTAAGCTAATTAAAAAACCAATTTTTAATATGTGCATTTTATATTATGAATAATCAGTTTGTGTTGTAGATCATAGTTATTTAGTCAGTTGTTTCTGTGGGTGTCTCCCAGAGTAACAGAGACCAAAACCAGTTTCTATAAATAGAAATATCTGATTGTAAAATCACAGACCTTGGCAGGGGGACTCAAGAGCAGACACAAGCCATGAAATTACTTCTGAGTTTTTGAAAATCCCTTTGTGGTCAAGCCTATTGTACCTTTTACGCAATTGGATAAGGGACCTATAAAGTGAACTTACTACATTTTTCAGGGCCTTTGTTTTGAAAGATTTAATACTGAGTATGAGTAATATATTAACTCAGTCAAAACATTGTTTTGTGTTATTAAGAATAGAAATTTTCAGTGCTACTGTTGTTGGTTTTCTGATTTGCTCCCCAGCCTCCTCCAGATCTCTGGAGTAATTGCTGCTGATTGAAAGCCATGAGAACTGGACTCATCCACATATTTTCCCTTACAATCACAAATTAGCCAACCTTTTTTTTTCTTATTTTAAAGAGGGCCAAGAATCTCTAATTTTTCCCATGCAAATAAGGCAAGGTTTACCAACATTTGCTTCACTCCACCTCTCACTCAAGGCAACTCTATCTCCATTCACACACTGTGTGGCCTTGTGTTGCACCAGGATCAGCTTTACAACTTAAACAAACCAGAGCAAAACACAGAGATAATTTTCTGTAGCAGCACTTTGACCCATCTCCATTGATTTCAGAACTGTCTCTCTTTATCTCTTGTTGAAACTGCTGCTTGCATCTCTTCATCAGAGGAAAATATCATAATTTACAGCAAATGTTCCAATTTTGATGTCTATGAAAACCATTAAGGTTAATGAATGAGGTTTGTACTAAATGAGTTAGGTGTTTTTCAGAGGCTGCAGATACACTTAATAACCCTGAATTAAAATATCATTATTTAAACATTGCAACATAATTCTGCCTCTTCTAAGGATTCTGCATTCTACCTAAATTAATTGAGATTGACAACAACAGGGCTGAATTTAGATAGACAACAATATGCACCATCACAGCTTGGATAGTAACAATATACAGTGAAAACAACTTCGTAAAACTCATTCATAAAACTACTTCCAGCAATAAAGAACAAATAAGAACCCCATTTCCCCCAATATTAGCCACCCAACTGCAACAGAATTTTGAAAAATAAGCACACTGCCAGAAAAGCAGGATGATACAAATCCAGGATGTATCTGGAGCAGTCTGATGATTACATTCTGATGTTGGAAAGGGAGGAACAACTGGGATTGCAATGGTGACTTGGAAAATTTATCTTCCTCTTCCTGAGGTACTTTTAGTCAAACTTCAGGAAAGGGAGAGATAGGCTTGTTCTCTGAGCAGAGAACTTCAGAAGCCCCAGCTAAGAAGGTGAGCTGGTTATAGAGGAACTATATAGTTATAGATAGTTATATATACCAGTTATATAGTACCAGTTATATATAGTTATATCCACTATATAGGAATAGTGCCTGCAGCAATGTGCAGTGTCTGTGAGGCACTGCTGTGCCTTCCCATTGTCACTGCCTGTGTGAAGGGGGAAAAGGGATCAACTGCAGGACAAGAGGAAGGAAAGGACAGATATCCAAAGGCTGGGATGTTCCCAGAGTCCATGTATTTTCTGAAGTACCTGAAATTAGTGGCATTTTTTAATTCTGCTGCCTGCAAGGAAGTGGTTGTAGGGCATTGCTGCTGGTTTTGTTCTTCCCATCTGCAACCCTGTACAGCCTGGATTTGGCTGCCAGGAAGAGGAGGTTTGCTCTAACTGTGCAGCAGTTTTTATTTGTCCGTACATAACAGGGAGTGCTAATAATGAAGATTTTGGTTTTTTGTTTTGCCTTATCATAAGGTATTTCAGAAGGGCCTCGTGCTCACTGTGCTTTGCCAGTAACAGCTGAGATTTTCCTGTTGCTCTCTCTGATTTCTGTAGGTCCTAACCACGTGTCTATGCAGCAGTCAGGCCAGAACACCATGCCCACGACCTCTCTGAGCATGACAGTGAGCAGCCACGGGACTGGCCCTGGCTACAGCCACACAGTGCCTGCGTCTCAGAACGTGCCCATGCAGGGCCAGGGCTCCATCGGCAATTACGTCTCCCGGACAAACATCAACATGCAGTCCAACCCAGGTAACCCCTCTGCCTGCTCCTGGCCCACCTTGGCTTCCCTATGACCTCACAGGGTTTGCCACACTTGACTTTGTTCTGTAAATATTTCCTGTAGACAGCTGCAAACATACCTGAGGGACAGGGAGCTTTCAGACATCTCTGAATTTCCAGGTGTCAGGGGCCAGTGTAATTCAGAGCAGTTTCACACTTGCTTTAACTTTGGCTGACTCACCATGGTGAGGCTGAGCTGGGGAAAAGAGGGTCAGGTAGAGGTGCAGCAGCATAGTCTGATAGCCCTGGCAGCAAATCCCACAGCCATGGGAGGGATCTGAGCAGCACCTTTGCCCAAGCACAAAGAACCTACCAGGGTGTAACACATTCACTGTTTGTACATTACTAGTTAATTTTGTTATTTTATTGGTACTTCACATTGTTTGCAGGGCATTAAGAGACTAGTAGACAATTCAAAAAAAGTTTTCTAGTTGAATCACGTTGAATGGGATGTCTGATGCTTTAGAATTCTTTACAGCAGCATGACATTTAAGAATCAAATAAATCCTAGAATATCAGTTCATTTAAACTCTATAATCATCAAGTGTATGAGAAGAAGGAAGCAGAGGAAAGAAGACATTAGAAAAGAAATGCAGCAATGAAATAGTCAGGAGGTAGACAGGAACAAACATCATTTTTTGTTTCTTGCTTTAACCCTACTGCACTGCAATAAGGTTTACATTATTTTAAGTAAGCTAATAATAATCAAGGGCTGGGTATATTTTTAAATATCTGCTGAAGCAAATGGCAAGAACTGACCATGTAATAAGAGCCCTTCTGGATTCCAGTGCAGAAGAGTAGAATAAATCCAGTAGGAAAACATCTCCCCCTGTGGAAAATTCACAGAATTATCAGGATGCATGTTAGCTGAAGGTTTTAACTTGCTTCTAAAGAGACTAGGAGAGAACTGCCCCATGTTCATCTTTGGAAAACAATCTTTTCCATGTCCATTGTAGTCTCCATGATGCACCAGCAAGCAGCAACGTCACATTACAACTCAGCACAAGGAGGGAGCCAGCACTACCAGGGACAATCCTCCATTGCCATGATGAGCCAGAGCAACCAAGGCAACAGCATGATGGGGCAGCGACCCATGGGCCCTTACAGAGCTTCACAGCAAGGTAAAACTGCTATCAGATTATTGATAGAACTCTCATTACTCTGATGACACTGAGTCTGTCACATTTACAAACAGAGAATCCCTGCCAGGAGCACAGGAAATCCTGAATGGTGAGAGTATCATGACAATGAGATGAACTTGAATCTATTTTCAGGATTCATCTGTTTGATTATTTTGGGTGTTTAGAAAAATAATTCTGTCTAAAAGGGATCATAAATCTCTAAAGAAAAGATAAACAATTTGATATACAGCTCATTCAAGGCACTGGGAATCTCTTCAATTCTTTCTCATGGTGCTGGATCAGCCCTAACATGGCACAGTTAGCAAGGAACACATTTCTGGAAAGAAGATATATTTTGCCAGCAAGTAGAATGAAGAATTAGGCCAAGGAAAGGAAAACACCAGAGGATAACTACCATGCTCTAAGTCGTCCCTGGATAAAGTTCTAAGAGGTAATAAAGCTGCTACACTGATTCGAAAATAAACTGAATTTTGCTAAGAAACAAATTAATGTATTAATGAAAATATATTTAATTCTGACTGTGCTCTTGAGCATGGAATCCATTCCTGTGCTTGCTTTCTAATAACTCAGATTAGTAGATGAAATGCAGCCCTTATTTTCAGTGTTGCTGCAGAAGTGATTGTAGGATGTGTTACTGACTGGTTTGTGATTTCAATTTCAGCCATCTTTGTCTGAAAATACAAATTTATTTCCTTTTCCTAGTGAGAAAAACATCTTTATAACTGCTCTCAATTGTTTGCTTTTCCATACATAAACTCTGTTTTCTTTAAAATAAATATTAGATAAGAGAAACGCATCCCTTAGGAGCGCACAGGCTGAGTCTGCCTTGTCTTGTGCCTTGCAGGTTCCTCACAGCAGTACATGGGTCAGGAGGAATACTACAGTGAGCAGTACAGTCATGGCCAAGGCTCATCAGAACCTATGAATCAGCAATACTATCCAGATGGTAATTCCTCTGTGCTGGGCTCATTGTGATACTGCTCAAGTGCAGAGCACCACGACTGCCACATCCAAGGGCATGGCAAACCTACTGTGCTTCATTTCCAGTTTCAGTGCTGGAAAATGAGAATCCCAGGGGATGGGAGCCTGGTACAAAACATGCACATCAGTGCACCCTGCTATATAAACTAGTCCAGTTTATAAAAGCCCAGTTTGGATTAGTAAACACAAGAGTTCTATCTGTTGGTGTGATTTTCCTTGCCTCGTATTCGATATTCTCCCTAAGGGGTCTGTATTTGCTCTTAGCCTCATCTTGGTGCATAAGCAGCTTCATAAAATATATTAAATATACATTCAACACTGTGTCTATGGTCCCATAAGAATGTACCTGACAAATCCTTGTGACTCCTTGCAGGGCATGGTGATTATGCCTATCAGCAGTCATCCTACACTGAACAGAGCTACGACCGGTCGTTTGATGACTCTACACAGCACTACTATGAAGGAGGTAGGAAAACACAGCAAAATCCTCACAGTAAATTCAATATATTATCGAGATATCTGAACTCTAAATTAACTGGTACTATTAACTGAATTATGATGAAGCAAGGTGCATTTAGGAGAAGCGATGTCTCCTATAGAGCCTCTGTTCATTTTGTTGTTTCAGGATACAGCAAATGGAATTTCCTTCGTAGGTATTTGAAAAAAAATACCAGTAACAACTAGATAAGTGGTCTTTCTGGGATATGTGAATAAACATCATTATCTAGAAGAAAATAAAATGAGAGGGCTTCTTGAGAAAGCAGCTATTTACCCTGGCAGGCTTATCCTTGTTCCTTTTTCTTCTGAAGCCCTTCTGGGATAAAAAAATTACTTCAAACAGAAACAAACACAGTTGTTTGTTTCTTTGTTTAGTGATGTGTATAAATAAGTAACTCTCCTATTCAAAAGAATTAAAGATCACTGGAGAAAAAAACATCTTGCTTGGGAAAATCCAATCATCTGTTTCTAAGAAAAGTATTTGTGTATGAGTTCTAGACCGAGGCTCCTTATGCCTTTGTTTTCCTCATCATCCACATGTACAGTGAAATATCTGCCTCATCTCCAAACAATTCCAATATTTCCCTCTCCAGGAAATTCTCAGTACAGCCAGCAGCAGGCAGGATACCAACAGGGAGCTGCACAACAGCAAACATATTCCCAGCAGCAATACCCAAATCAACAGAGTTACCCAGGACAGCAGCAAGGATATGGTAAGAAAACTTTCAGTCAAATGTTTGCAGTGTTTCACCTTGATGCCTCCATCCCTAAGCTAAAATAGGCTGTAAACTATTTCCCTGATTAACCTTGGATTAACAATGTACCAAAATTAGCCAAAGATCTAGTAAAGGGATTCTGGGCAGTAACATACATAAGTGTAGCACTGCACTCCATCCTGAATCCCTCTCTCTTTTGATAGAAGTTAGAAAATACACATTTTCTTCATGTTGACTTTGTGTTAAACATCATCAGGAGGTCACTGCCTGGGTTCCCAGGCCTCCTACACACCTAGTCCTTCTGAACTGACATGAAAAAGAACATCAGCAGTCCAGAGAATCACTCCTCTGTTGCTTATGGTGGCACAGCCAGATTAGAGAGGAATTTAAACATGCAGTTGTTACTAAAATAAAGGCCAGGTAGTTTGCACAGAGATCAAAACTGAGCTGTGCCTATACAGATTTCAAAGAGGCTTCACTTAGAAGTATTATGACATTTTTTAAGCAAAGTTTAAAATCTGAGGTTTACACTGCTGCAACTACATCATTATTAGTATTAACGCCTCCTAGTGTAAACCTAGAGGGGAGGTCTGGGCAGAATTTACTCACAGTTCTTACTCACAGAGCTTACTTTGTTAGCATCATATTTTAGATTGTGTTAGCTCTTAAAAACTCCAGCAAATCAAGCCTGTAATGGATTTTACAGCCTGTAATGGATTTTACTGTCTTCTCAGGTCCTGCACAAGGAGCCTCTTCACAGTATTCCAGCTACCAACAGGGACAGGGGCAGCAATATGGAAGTTACAGAGCTTCCCAAACAGGCCCATCCGCTCAGCAACAGAGGCCTTATGGCTATGAGCAGGTAAATTGTCTAAATCTGTGCTCTGAAAGAGCAGATCTGGCTGTTAGATCTGTCGATAAATCTGATAATATGGTGCAGGTATACAGGTGATACTTCAGTAGGTCTTGTAAAATTCACAGACCAAAAGAAATTGCCTAACTTGCAGTAAGCCTCCAATATATTATCCTTCAACATTTCTATTACTTCTTTTTTTTTTTTTTACAGGGACAATATGGAAATTACCAGCAATAAAAGAACACAGTACTGTGTCAGATTCCTTTCAATAGTATCTCAATCTTTTGAACTGGATGTACAGGCAGTTTTGATTAATTGTAATATGTTGGTTACCCCTTAGCACAAAGCAGCGTCTGTATGTGAACAGTGTTCATTTCATGCTGGATATGAAGCAGTGCACTACTGGTAACAAGACAATGCTTTAATGGTTTGATATTTGGTGCTGTGTATAGTACTGTATGTTGATACAACACAGAAGTTTTCCATTTTACCCTCTCTTGTCCCATTCTTGATGTTTCTGAATAGCTTTAGGATCATTAGATCACAGTTGTGCCCCATTCTGGAAAACAGCCAGGTTGTTCTGCACTCTGGCCCAATGCAAAGCCTATCAGTCACATCTCAGTCCAGGGAAGTTCCCTGTGGTAAGTTGTTGATCTTTTTTTAACTGGATGCATTGAAGATTACCTGCCAGCCTCCAAAATCCATGGCTCTTCAGTTTACTTCTACAGAACAAGGGGATGGATACATTCCTTATAAAATGTCAGTTCTATGCTGTATGACAAAAAATAACTGCAACTTCTATAATACCTACCTACCCACCCAAATCCCATAATCCAGTAATCTGCATAAATCCACATTCCTGTTGTATTGGTACAGAAAGAGGATTCAAACCTATGATCATAGAAATGTTAATAAATAGAGGCACCTTTTATATGTCCAAGTAAACAAAAGTATTTCTGTCGTGGGAGGAAAACCAGAAGGGAGCTCTGAGACCTGCACTGTCAGCCTGCTCGGCATCAATATTGCTTCATATCGTGCTTAGCTGAGAAAAACACCTGGCAAAAGTCCCACCTTGAATATCCTACTCCAAATTTTATAACTTGCATATACATTTTTGTGCCAAATTTTGCAAGCAGGTGGCTGGCATCCTTCTTTATTCTGATTCTTGTGCTGCCCTTGCTCAGATTCCCCAGCAAGCATTATAACCATTAATATTGTCAAATTTGGTGGTCTGTTGTTCTCACAGCTCATCATCGCTGTTATTTTCCTATTGTAGCTTGACAGAAAAATAGTTCAGAGGTAAAAGAAAAAAAATGCATTTTTATTGCAGACAAGCAATTAAATTCAGCTTTAATTGTGAGACACTATTATGCATATAGAGAGAGGAGCTATTAATGGGGTCAACCACTGAGAGAATATCTGTAGAGGGAGAATTTAGAGAGAAAAACTAGTGGTATGTAAAAATCAGTATGAACAATGTAAGTCTATTCAGTTTTATATGTTCTTATAAAGTCTTGGGGGGGTGAAAAAAGGGCACTTTTAAAGTGCTTATATAAGTGTTAAACAAAATACTGTGTCCAAATTTCTCTGAAGCAAAAAGCTGGGGTGGCTGTGTAGCCCACAAACATTTTTTGATATGAGATTAACTGCAAATTTACAAAAGTAAATACACTGTGTAGGATTTTCTCCTTTGTCTAACTGGTGTTATAGGATTTCAAGTACTTTATATTTTGAAAAACAAAGACCACAAGGAAAACACATCTCTCAATTCATTACTTTTTTTTCCTTTAGAAGAAAATCTTTAACTGGACAACTGGGAAGTTTACTGTTAAATGTTGTCCAAGCACTGTCCTTCTTATGTTAATAATTTCAATTACTGGTAAAATAGAAGACTTTTTTTTTTCAGTCAGTCCTCATTTCTCTCATCTTTCCTGCTGGTGTTTTCATACAAATAAATACTCTCAAATAGCAAGGAACAGAAAGGAAATAAGATTGTTTTCTTTATAATAATTACTATTACAGGTAGCCAGAAGAATGCAATATTGCTCTTTGCCAATTTGGGAATACGCCTTTTATGTGGTTTTTGAAAGTGCTGAAATGCTTTTGAGAGAATATGAACAACACTTAAACTGAAACAGCAACATTACATCAATCTGAAATGTCTTACATTAAGAACTTCGTGAATGTTGTGTATATAATGTATTTGAAAGAGCACTTTGAAAATAGTTTGTACATTTATTTCCTAATTTATACATGATTTTTGGTGTTAATATTTCTAATTGTTAATAACAAAACGTTTATTTAATATGTCATCCATTTTTATGTATCAATGTGGAAACAAAGTGATGCCAGCATTTTGACTTCTTCCATGAATTGTATCATTTTCTGTTTTGTAATACAGAATGCTTGAAAATGGTTTAGTTTAAATATTATCTGAAAGTGGATTTGGTGGTACTTTCCTTGTGGCAGATGGAATGGGTAGCACAGGTTACCCTTTCCTTGGGGGGCTGATGGTGAGAGCTGGCCATGCCCCAGCACAGGAATCCCTGGGTGCTGGGCTGATCCCGGCGTGGGCAGCAAGGAGGGAGAATTCTGCTCCTCTATAAGGGCATGGACAAAACTTATTAGAGACATTTAGCAGCTCTGCCATGAGGAAACGCTGAGAGAATCGCGATTGTTCAGCCTGCTTAGGGGAACTTCGGGGTGCCTTCATTGCAGCCTTCCCGTGCCTGAAGGGAGCTGTGAGAAAGACGGAAAGAGACTATTTATAACGGGCTGGAGTGACAAGACAAGGCGAAATGGCTTCAAGCTGGCAGAGGCAGGGTTTGATGGGGTTTGAGGGCAGGGTTAGATGGGGTTTGAGGAGGATGCTCGGGACTGCGAGGGGCAGGAGGGTGCCCAGAGAAGCTGTGGCTGCTCCAGCCCTGGAAGCGCTCAAGGCCAGGCTGGAGGGGTTTGGTACAAGCTGGGATAGTGGAAGGGGGAACGAGATGATCTTTAAAGTCCCTTCCAACCCAAGCCATTCCAGATTCTGTGCCTCGCGGGTTCCCTCAGCCCTCAGGGGCCGGGGCGGGGCTGAGGCGGGGCTGAGGCCGGGCTGGGGCGGGCCTGAGGCGGGTCGGGGCTGCCGGGGGCGCGGCTTCGCCGCAGCGGCTGCGCCCGGGAGGCCGAGGCGGGGCTGTGCCTGTCCCTCCATGGCGGTGCTGTGTGGGGTCGGGCTGGGCACGTCCCTCTGGCGCTGCGGGGCCGGGGGGAGCGGCCGCAGCCCCTGGAAGCCGCTGCTGGTGCTGCTCAGCCCGCCCGCTTTCTCCACGGGCTGCCCCCGGTGCGCCAAGGACAGGCGGCTGAGGCAGAAGAGAGCCATTTCCGAGCGGCAGCTGGTGAGTGCTGGGCTCTCCGCGGGTTCGGGGTTCCTCCCGCCGCTGGCCCTGTTGGAGTGAGGAAATACTGGCTAAAATATAATTGACTTCCAGAATAGTGAGGAAATGAGTCTGCCCCGCGATATTCTCGGTGCTCACATTGATCGTAGTGACAGTCCTCTTCCCCTTTGGCCTCCTTGGGCGGGAAGTATCTATAAGTCTAGAAATTAAAAAGGTTTTTAAAGTTCTAAAATGGTGTTTTAGCTTTAAATCTAAAATATTGGTTTGTTTCTCACTGGTTTTTTAGTCTTTAGTTTTTTTGTGGTGTAGTCAGCTGCCAAACAAACACCACTTTATATCAGAGAAACTTCAGGGTTCTAGAATTTATTCTTCATCTTATTTTTATATTTACACATCTCTGGAAAATCTTGTTTTCTAACGATCCATAAATCACTCCCCATTAAAAGCCATAGTTTATTCTTTCGCCGTGTGGTGGTGCCAAATACTTTCTAAAAGAGGCTTTTTAGTAGTAATATAAATTTGCTTATCAGAAGTTCAGGTGAGAGGAGGGGTTTTTTTCAGTTGCTTATCTTTGGTATCATAACGTTAATAAGACTTTTTCTTCCTCACGTACTATTTGTGCCATTTATTTAAAGTGACCCCTAAAGGCCATTCTCATTATGGAGTCCCTTAGTAACTGAGAGAATTAGAAAGTTCCCATGATCACAGTCATGCTTTCTCTTTTCATCCCTCTGTGTAAACAATTCCACCTGTCAATGAATGTACTTCCCTAATATTTTCCCTTGTGAATTGCAGCCTCTTTTCTGGAGATAGATGAAGTTATATTAGCATAGCATAGCCATAGGCATTTGCTTTTTAAAAAGTTCTTAAAAACACTTGAAAGATGAGATCTGATTTTCTTTATTATTGCACTCAATACACTGCAGTTAGTTGATCTGTGAATGCCAGCAGAGTTCTGGTTCAGAGTTCTGAGTTTTTTTTACTGTTGAATGAAATTCATCATGGCTAAAAATAGCAGGTCTGGCTAATAACTAAAACTTCTTGGAAGCTGAGTCTGATAAATTGTATTTAAAGGTAGCAACCCCCACCCTTGTTGCAGACACGTTATTTCGTGGATCAGCGGAAGGTGCGCGTGGTTGGAGGACAAGGAGGAGACGGGGGCCAGTCCTTCCACAGTGAGCCCAGAAAAGTGTTTGGAGGTCCTGATGGTGGGAATGGAGGTGATGGGGGTCATGTCATTTTTAAAGGTAAACCTCACTGAATCTGTTCTGTTTTGTATTATTGTCTTCTTGTTTAACACCCCACCCCAGCAAAAACAGCGCTGCACGGATGGTAAATGGCAAAAATGTTAAAATGGTTATTTCTCTATGAGATGTCTTCACTTTTGAAGTTTTGTCCTGTGCTGTGGTAAGGAGGACATAAATGACACTGACAGCCTTAGAAAGAATTTTGAAAATTGAGGTATTTTGCAGATACTTTAGTGAGTGTTGCCTGACTGTGTTATGTTAAGATCTGATTAAATTTTCCTCTTAAGATGAATAAAGCTGCTTTTGCTACCACTCTGCTGTAAAATCTAATCTAGCAAATTAATTTTGGTTTGGGATGACCACATTAATAAACCTAATCAGCTAAGTACAGACAGTTAAACTTTATCACAACTTAGATTGATCTTAGTCTTCCCTGATATGTTATTGTTGAGACAGTAAATAAAAAATAGGGACAATAAATAGTAAATAGGATGTGCACTCATGCAATATTCAAAAAGGGGGAGAACAGTCATGAGTTGTCTTTTCTGTGCCTGTTTTACTAAAGCAATGTGTTCAAAATGTGTGTATTTTGCTTTTCAGCTGACCAGCAGATGAAATCACTTGCTTCAGTGTTCCGCTTCTATCAGGGCTTTCACGGAGAGAGAGGAGGAAGCAAAAACTGCTATGGAGCTAACGGTGCACACATGTATGTCAAAGTAAGTGTTGTGTGGTAGCTTGGTACATGGCTGATTTTCAGTCTGGAGAACCTTACTGTGTGCAAATCTCCTGTGTGATGGAGGGTGAATGTCTGACGGTGCTGTTTGAGTTCAGAAAGTGAGTTTCATGAAAGACAATTCTCTTTCTGGGCTCCTCACCTTGAGGATATGCAGGAGTGATTTTCAGCAAATCTGAAATCAGCTGCTGGAGGATCTGCTGCAGGCTTTGAGCTTTGGTGTAATGCTTGCACCTCTTCCCTTTGAGGTCCCTGTTGGTACTTTGGTGAAGGAGGATGGTGAAGTTGTGGCTGACCTCACCCAGCATGGAGAGGAGTACATTGCAGCTCATGGAGGAGCTGGAGGGAGAGGGAATCGCTTCTTTCTGTCCAACGAAAACCGCGCTCCGAAATTATTCACTCCGGGAGAGCCAGGTCAGGAGAGGGTCCTTCATCTGGAGCTCAAGACAACAGCTCATGCAGGACTGGTGAGTTTCTGTTGGTTCAGCTTCCACTTGACTGACTGAAGAAATTATGTGAGAGAACATTTTCTTGGCCCCTGGCTTGCTTGTTTGGAGACACAGCTCGATGCTTTCTTGCTGTTACTTGGTAGAAGGGTGTCCAAAGTGATTCACAGAGCTGTCACTCTCATGCTACTTGGTGTTGTCCTATTTCTGCTAAAATCCCTATTATACATAGAGAAACAAGATTCATCAGTGGTTGCTGATGATGTACAGCAGCTTTTTCTGCTGGTTCTGCAGATGAACACTACAGTATAGAGAATTCTTTTAAATTGGTTTCTTGGTTTGTTTTTTTTCCCCTATATTATAAAGTTCAAATCATCTGTTTCATCCCTGTATTTATCTTTTTGCAGATCTTAAACATTTGACTTTGTTAGTGACAGGTTTATCATCCTCTGAAATGAAAAATGCTCAACTTTGAGCTTAAGCTATTTTTGTATTTGAGTATGGAAATATTCTAACACCAGCTGGCAAACCTGTGAAAGTTATGCTTTGCTGCAAAATGTTCTTGATGCAATCCAACAACTGCAGAATAACTGTCTGGTCTAGTAGAATTTTGCAGATTTGTTAAAGATTGAGAAATTTGTGTGTTTGTATTCCAGGTGGGCTTTCCCAATGCTGGCAAATCCTCACTTTTGAGAGCCATCTCCCGGGCAAAGCCAGCTGTGGCTGCCTACCCATTCACAACCCTAAACCCCCACGTTGGCATTGTCCACTATCAAGACTATGAACAAGTGGCAGGTAAGAATTTGAAGTTTGTTGTGTGTACCTTGATAGCAATTTGTGTCACCTTTGTAAATGCTTTAAAATGCTGCAGAAATAGATTCAGGAGTTCTGCGGTGTTCTTGCTAGTTCTAAAGAACTTCAAAGAAAACTCTGCTGAAAACCCATTTCACCTTCACTTGTAGGTACCTTTAGTGCCAAACTGTCAGTCTGTATTTTGTGTGCAATGGAATAATCTACATTTAGGTGTTTCAAATTTTAACTTCGTGTGAGTTGTGCTTTCATATTGAGGCACTGAGACATAATTCTAAAAGTACTGTCACTGGCCAGTAAAAGACTGGGGGGGATTTTTGAGGGTTTTTTATTGATCTGCTGGATTCACTGTGAAATTTCCCTTGCAGTTGCTGACATTCCTGGCCTAATCCGAGGTGCTCACCAGAACCGAGGGCTGGGCACGGCCTTCCTGAAGCACATCGAGCGCTGCCGCTTCCTCCTGTTCGTGCTGGACCTCTCTGTGCCCCAGCCCTGGAGCCAGCTGCAGGACTTGAAATATGAACTGGAAGCATATGAAAAAGGCTTGTCTGAGAGGCCTTGTGTTGTGGTTGGGAATAAGGTTGACCTTGCTCAGTCCAGGATCAATCTGGCGCTCCTCAGGGAGCAGGTAGCTGAGAGGGTCATTGCAGTGTCTGCACTGACAGGAGAGAACTTGGAGGAGCTGCTGTTGCATCTGAGAGAACTCTATGACACTTATGTGAAGACAGAACAGTCACAAGGACAAAGCCCAGTCAAGTGGTAGAAGCCACAAGTGCTGTGAACTGTGCTGGAAGGAGAACAAAGTTAAAATAGCAGTTTGATTTGAGTGCCTCTCTGTGACTGGGGCTTCCTGTGGGTTGTTTTTGTTGTTAATATGGAAGGGCACAGCATGGGGATTTGTTCTGGACTGCTGCTTTGGAAAGATTGTTTTGTTTGTTTATTCACCTTTGAGGTGTCTCTGAAGTTTTACAACAAAGCTTGAAAATTGTAATCATGGTGGGTGGTGAACTGGAAGCCTGGCTCTTGTTTGGCATACTATGGAATGAAGAGAATGCTGTCTAGTAGAAATGACTGAAATTCAGGATCTGCAGGAGATGTTGGTTTATTTTATGAAGTGTACTGAAGTCACTTTCTCAATTTTCACTAATCAAAAGTTCTAAAATAAAATCAGGTGGCCCCATATTTGTCTCTTTTTATATTATGGCAAATTTCTTAAAACTTTTCTCCTGTTGTGGTTGGGTGTGGATTTTTCTCCTCAGAGGGAGGCACAGCTCAATAATTTTAGGGAGGAGGAGCATGGAAGAACTGCAATTAATGACTGAAATTATTTTCTCATTAATATAAATAATTTACTATATTTAAATGCTGGCAGCAGCTAAGTAGCTAAATAAACTGGCCAGGAACCAACCATTTGAGACTCACATCTGAGTTCCCCCATTTAGGAATCTCAGGCAGTGTTCTGAGAAATCCTAGGCTTAGATACATCAAATAAAATAAACATTCAGTTCTTTGTGTGTGTGTGTCCCCTTTTTTCAACTATATAATTTTGTGGACTGTGTTCTTAAACTTTAGGAATTCAGGAATCTTAATTTAGAACAGTCATCTTTGCCCTCTCCTCATACTGAAAGGAGAGCTGCTTCTGTATACTCTGGTCATATTTTCTGTAAAAGATTATTATCTTAATAATGGAAAGTCAAAATTCATCAAAACATATAATTAAACTTTTTCATAAGGGAACTGAACAGGCTTGTGGGGTGCTGAGACACAACACTGTCAGAAATAGAGGAAATTACTGAGTGGATATGAAAAACACTAAACTGTAGCCTCTAACCACTTTTTGTAATACACCACAGTGAAGGTCATAATTCTCTCTGCTTATTTCTCTGCACTTTTTTGATTTCATCCCTGGTAGTCTGATGCTTCTGCATGGAACATCCTTAAAAGCACGGTTTTAATTCTGAAAAAGTACAGGTCAGTTTGGAAGGCTGAATTGATTAATAAATTATGGCCAACCCAGTAGTTACCTCTCCTAAATTCACATTCTGAGTATTTCTACTTGTGGTCAGGTGTGGGGAGTAATCTCTGCATTATAAGCAGTGATGTTGGTATAAATAGCATCAGGAAAAATTCAAAACTAATATTAAATCCTAAAGTCTCTCCTGTGTTTTCCTTCATCCCTGGGATTTACTGAGTTGAATTAAATAGAAGTTAATATTCAGTTCTGTTCTTCTGTTTGGCTTTGTGCAGCATTTTTAGGCTTCACTGCTGCTCTTCCTGCTATTGCTACATGCTTTTCAACCACTTTTAATAAAACCAGGGGAAGGTTGCCTGAACATCAAAGCTGGTGCAGCTTCTTAGCAGATTATTTAATACCCACAGAGGCTTTCCACTCTCTCTGGCTGGGTTTGAGAATGCCAAGGGCTGCTCCAAAAGCCTCAGTGCTTGAGTGTGACAGTGGTCACAAGGGTTGCAGGATGAAGAGAGAGGCGAGAATGTTGACCTCATGTTCAGAAGGCTTGATTTATGATTTTATCATATATATTACATTATGACTATACTAAAAAGAATAGAAGGAAAAGTTCTCAGAAGGCTAGCTAAGCTAAGATTAGAAAAGAAAGAATAACAAAGGTCTGTGTCTCAGCAGAGCGTGAGACCCAGTGGTCAGTAAATCCAAACATCCACCCGAGACCAACCACGGGTCCACCTGCTGCATTCCACAGCAGCAGATAACCATTGTTTACACTTTGTTGCTGAACCTTCTCAGCTTCAGCAGGAAAAATCCTAACGAAAGGATTTTAATGGAAAGATTATTACAGCAACCTGAGTGGGTTGCTGGGGTGGTGAGAGAAATATGAGAATCTTGTTTCTTGATCAGAAGGCTGGATTTATTGATATATGATATATAATACATTATTACTATACTAAAAAGAAATAAAGACAGAAGTTGCAGAGGCTGCTAGCTAAGCTAAGAATAGAAAAGAAAGAATCTATAACAAAGTTGTGTCCAGGGACTCTGTCCCCAGCTTGCTCCTGTGATTGGCCCTTAATTATAAACATGGGAACATGAACCAATCACAGGTGCATCCTATTGCATTTCACAGCAGCTGATAATCGTTGTTTACATTCTTCTGGGGGCCCTTGCTTCCCAGAAGCTACAGAAATCTGAAAGAAAGGATTTCTGTGAAAAAATGTCTGCGACAGAAAGATGTCTGTGATACTCGAGGAGCTCCCAGCCTTCCTTCAGTGCTCAGGTGTCCCAGTCCCTGCAGGGAGAGCAGCGTTGTTCCTGCTGTCTGAGGTTTCCTGACACCTCCCAGAATGTGCCATTGATCCCGCTCTGGGCTCTTTGTTCTGCTGAGGTGACAGCACCAAGCTCCCAAGCCGTGTTCCTAACAGGCTTCAAAGAGGCTTTGCAGCCTCAGGTACTCTCTGAAAAGTGCCAAACAGCTCCAGCTTTGTTGTTGGAACAGCTCTTTGGAGAAGCTTGGACTTCCTGTAGTCTTTAACCACTTAAATCACATTTCTCCAGGGTGCTCCTTCACAGTTTGCATGAAGATCTCTTGGGTCTCATTCTAGTGGAGCACAGGACTGAGGAGGAACATCTGGTTCTGCTGGAAATAAAGTATTTGCAAAGGAAATGCATTTTGCCTATAAAAACAGAGAGGGAAAAAAATCATTAGTTTAGTGGTGAATCGTTTCAGGAAACTGCTGTGTGCTATAGGATGTCTTTCCACTTTTTTTTGGCAGGGGCTGGGGTGGGTGGGCTTGTTTTGATTTAGGTTTTGGTGGATTTCTTCTGCATTATTTCCTTTTGCTTTCCTTTGCTGAACCCTTTGATGGTGACTTTGCTCCTTAAGCTGGCCAGAGGAGAGAGATATGGTAGATTTTATTTCTCATTCTGACAATAAGCCATGGGAATTCAATGTGAATTGAAGTGCAGTCAATTCTATTTCCTGGAGAAGCCTGAACCATAATTTTGTTTAGCACTTTACAATTCTAGTACTCTTTTGTATTTTTTCAGTACACAATTACAACATTATTTCAGTGCTAATTGTAGGGGGGTTATATTTATTTTATTTTATTTATTTTCCGCTTTGTGAGTCCTTGGAAAATATAAGTGGTATCAATTGCCTGGAAAAAGAAAATCAAATGCTAATGTAAAAGCAAGGATTAGAAAGGACTGCACTTTTAAACATGTGGATACTGAGGTCTTATTGCAGTACATTAACTAAAGCCTTGAATCTGTGTGTTTAAGCATGAGATGTTTTGCAATCTACTTTACTTACTGTTTCCTAAAGCACTTACCTATTTATTATTTTTTTTTACATTAGGGAAAGATCTTCCATTATTGTCTGTGTCCTTATTAAGATCATCATAGGAGACTTGTGGTAAGTGAGTAAGTACTCTTGACTTGAACAACCTGTTACCTGTTCATTAATTCAAATTAAAGACTGATAGGAGTGGCTGTGAACCAGAGATGCTCATGCACATGGGGTGGGATGTGGTCATAGTTTGTACAGGCTGCTGGACATGGATCCACCATCCAACTGCTTTTCTGTCCTGTCCTCCATGGGATTCCAACAAAACTCTCCAACACCTGCACTGGCAGTGCACTGTTGTGGGAAGGGCTTTGGTGAGAATTGAAACAACCCCCTGACACTGCTAAACTTCATCCCAAGGTCAATGTGTGCCTGGCCTTTGAAGAACCATTCTGTTTTCTGCTAGTCTTCCATGCTGCAGGTCCTAGTGCCATTCCCCAGCGACAAATTTTTCTGGTTTTTTTTAAGTAGGGATTAAATTTTCCAGACTTTGTGCACTGCAGAAGTCTGGAAAGACTGCAGTTATTGCTTGGAGGGGAGTATTATTATTTGGAGGGGAGGTTAAATTTGTATGCCAATAATGATAAAAGATGATTTTGCAACTCTTGATAACAGAACAAAGCTCCCTTCAGGCTGCACTCTTGATTTTTCTCTGAGCAGTTCTGAAATTAATCATGTGGTGTGTGCCCATTTTTCTGAGTCATGAAACCTAGCTGGTGGAAGGACAAAGGCAGGGAGATTTTCATCAACCTTGTTTTAATGTTGAGATTATGTTTGTCCTTCATTTCCCCACTGAGAGTAATTTCTCATCTCCTCTTTTCTGATTGAAGTAGAATTGTCCAAGGAGGCTTTAACAGCATCTGATTTGTCATCCATAGGGTTTGGGGTTTTTTTCTCTGCCCTTGTGTGTATAAAATATATCCCTGACTCCTTGAACTGTGCATTCCTTACTCAGCTCTCTTCTTTGCATGTTGCTATATTCTGCCATCAAGGTGAGGACGTGTATTTGTGTATTTTATAGACATTTCCTGACTGATGAGTGAGAAGACCAATCATACTACAAATCCATATGATTATGGTTTAATAACTCACTTGTGTCTGCATGTTCCATTTCATTAAGGCTGTGGTTGGTTACTTTCTTACAATCCATTTTATTCTGGTAAGATTCAATTAATGTAATTGGAGTGAGTGGCATAATGCAGTGGTGACCTGGGCTCAGTTTGGTGGGCTTTTAACCTGACTGTAGCACTGCAGCAAACTCAGACGCTGTTATTTTATGTCATGATGAGTACAAGACACAAAACATCCTTGTGCTATTCACATATGCTGAAAATGTTTTATACAGACACAACCACCTTTTAAAGTGCAGGTTTAGAAACACACTTTAGATCCAGACATATTAAGACTGATTGAAAAGCTGAAAATGAACTGCTGAACAAATTATCTTTTGTTATCCAAATCATACGTGGGGCCTTTTTGTCTTTGTAACTGGAGAAATCGATAGGCAATTAATGTGCTGGTAACAGTCAATATTTTAGAAAGCATCTGATGGTTAAGGGATCAATTTTTGCACATGGAAAAGCTTCGTCATTGTTTAAAGATTTCTCATTTGAATCTTGGCATTTGGGTTCTTGGTGCTTAATTACCTTTGAGACTGGAACATCATTGCTTCCCAAAGACTTGTGAATCCCCACCCAGTGCTTCCTTTGTGCACACACTACTCAGCCGCTGTCAGAAGTTACTATTCCCTCTCTAAATCCAGATAAATTAATTTCCCCCTAAAAGTGGAAAATGCTTATGACAAAAAATATTTGCATGAGGCAATGTAATTGCTAAAACACTGGTTGTCAAGAAGACAT